GAAGGCTGGAGAATGGGGTTGAGAATCATGTAAGCCATGATGAAATGATAGAGCAGTCTCAATAGAATGAAAGGCCTAATTCTGCTCCAATGTCTAATGATCTTTTAGCTTTGAGGAAATTTCGGACCCGTTCCTTTCCTGATCACTGCTGAAACTCTCATCCATGCTTTTGTTATCTCCACATTTGACTATTCCAATGCACTCCTTGTCAACCTCCCGCCTTTTACCCTTTATAAACTCAAGTTGACACACAGTTCTCTTGGCCATGAAGTTACTCACATCAAATTCAATTTGTCTATAGCCCCTGTGCTTTCTCAACTGTGTAGGATCCTGGTTAAACAGCATCCCAATTCCAAATATTCTCATCATGTTTTCAAATCCCAGCATAGTCTTGCTCTTCCCTATCTGTGCATTTTCTTCCAGCTTCTCAACAACCGTCATCTGTGCACTTCAGAATCTGGTCTCTTTAGTATTCTAATTTTAATTGTCCCATCATTAATCACTACTTTTAGCTGCTTTCCATCCCTCGAGCATTCTGCCATTTTAATTCACTTCGCTCATTTAAGATGCTCCCTAGAATTAGCAAGTCTTGACCAAGCTTCTGAGGGCTAACTCCCCGAATACCCTCTTCTAATGCTCCTGTGAAGCAATTGAGACATTTATTACTTCAAAGGTATTATTATAAATACAAGTAGTTTTTGAATGAAAATTGTTATTCCAAAGTTACCTGATGAAAGCAGCTCCTCTCTATCCTACCTGCTTTGAACCTTCCATCTTGAGTCAAAAGGGCATTACATTTACCATGACAATGCTAACTATATCTTTAATAGTCATGTCCTATTCAGCTACAATTGTAATTTTGTTTTCTATTTTGTTAAACAGTGCAACAAAATAATTGGAAGGTATACAGGTTAAATCATAGATGATTGTAAGGTTTTATTTTACTCCTCACCATCCATTTTAGACCAGTATTTTATGAGAATGTTAATATCCTTAGAGATCCTATCTCATTTGGTACAAAGCTCCGAGCATTTTTGTACAAAAGAAGCACCTGGCACCAAAAACAACTTAGAACCACATCAGTTTCGTTCTTTTGGAAGTTGTCTCTATTGTCATGAACCCTGAATGGACTGACAACTTTAAAAAAAGAAATTTGAACATCTAGTTAATAGTCCTCCTGGCTAAAGTTAGGCAACTCTCTCTCTTTCTCTCTCTCTCTCTCGCCCCACCCAACATCCCACTCTAGCAGCCTAACCTGTCTATGATGTTGTCATGTTTTAGGAAAGCCTTTGAGTTTATTTTGTGATATTTGTACAACATGATCACTTCCAGCATCTTTGACAAGAAAATTGTAATTTGTTTTGTGCAAAATATTTATCTTAAAAGAACTGTTGACGTAAGCCATTTTTCGCCAGTGCTTTAATTTTTTAAAAAATCTGTTCTTGTCAAATGTCTTGTCAGCTTGTATAGCCAGTCTTTATTTTATATATACACACTTGAGTGGAGTACAAATCATTACTCTGTGAATCTACAGCAATGACACCTCAGTTTCTTCACATTAAAAAAAATCATTGTGTAACAATTTCGTAGCACCACTAATGATCAATTATTGTCGATGCAAGATTCAAGCAAACATTAAAACTAAATGTAGGTATGTATAGCTATACATATGTATGTCACCAAAATAAAAATAATTATTTTTAATCAACCTGCTTGGCATATTCTGACAAACCTCCACAGCAGCGGGACTTGAACCCACACCTTCTGGCCCAGGGGTAAGAACACTAGCAGTGCACCACATGAGTGTCCCAAAGTTGGGAGATATTATGAGAGGTACCATGGTTCAGCAGCAGTAGGTTTGACAGGAATTATTTTTAGCCAGAAACATTTTTTTTTAGAAGTTATTTCACTGCTGTATAAAATGTCATTGATTTTGACAGTGATGAATGTGACTTTGTTAGGTGGTTTGAGCTATGCTCTTGGTTTAAATCTACCATTCCTGGTTTGGATAGTTGCCTGTTACGTGTTATGTATAGTAAATAATAAATACCCAAAAATAAGGCATTTATACTTTTACCTTATTACTTTATGTTGTTTATCTATAAATATTAAGATTTCTGCTTGATGTGCTTTATTATCCAAGTCATAATGGCTGTTTAAACCATCCATTATGTTACCAGCACACTATGTTCACAGGAAGCACTGACTGCTGTTCTGCAGTTAGTCTTACTATTAATTATGCTTTCTCATTCCCTCCCTGCCTTTCATTTAGTAGCATTTCTGCCTGAAATAAATAATACTGATCTTTTGTTTCTAGAAATAGGCTTATTGTAGTTCAAGATTAATATTAACTGGTGGCCAATGTTTCGCAAATGCGTTAGTTTAACGAGGCAGACTGGTACGCAATCTGTGCAGGTTTTAGGTTGCTATATGTCTACATAACTTAGAAGGAACATTGCTAGTGACATTACACACTCCTGCTGTTGAAAGAAGCTGCCTGTGTAAAAATATGATGTACTTTTGGGATATGTTAAGAATATAACTATAAAATATGCATGAGATATATACAATTCTCTGAAGTTTTTAATTTTGCTAGAACACACTCTGAACCATACTGTTATTTTTGACATCATTTAGTTGACAGAATAGTGATTGCATGCTTAAATTGTTTACCTTGGAGTCCCTTATTTTTCCATTGTTGTGACTGTCATTGTATGTAAGACTTGGCTATACTTAGATCGCCCTATATAATTTTGTAAATTATCTTGAAAATGTACAAGAAATGTTGGCACACAATGATGTACAGTTTTAAGCTGCAGCATGATATGACACAGGTTTGACATTGCGACTTCCAACGCAGTGTGACTTCCAAGCTTAGCAATGACGTTATTGCATGGGCTGCCTGCATCTTCATAGAAAGGGAAGGAAAACTGGCATGTACTATTTTCACCTTCTACGTAGTTGATTGTAAGACAGTATTGACAAGCTTAAGGATCAATAACGAGTTTGTACTCTCAGGACGGATGTGCCCAGATGAGAAGATGGGAAAAAATATTGTTACAGTCTTATGTAAAAAAATAAGAACAAAACAAATTTTGGTTTTGATATTATCATGATTTAATCATGAAATTGTCACCTGTTTAAACAGCAATAGGGAGATGTCTCTATTTTGTTTGCATTTTTAGTGGTTGAAAATAATAGTTGTTGATTGGAAAGGAGACATTGTTACATCAGTATGGAAGAGTCAGTTGAAACAAAACATGCATAGCATTGCCCCTACAAGCAGCATAAAGCCCATATTCAAAAGATTATCCTGTCCTGCACCAGGCAGCATTTTATTTCTTCCCTCATTCAACATTGACCTTTTAATGTTGGATCAGGAGCAGTCAGGTGATGTTCACACATGCCCATTGAGACCAGAAATTAGAACAGTAGTTGTTTGCTTTGTCTGGGTAACTAGTAAAATAATAGTTGGAAATGACCTTGTCCTCCTCCTCCTCCCTTCCCTGAATTTAACTTTATTGTTCTGTCACACTGGAATTTTTAGCTGATAATTTACACCTTTTACCATCTTTTAATATTGTCAATATTTAACATAAACTAATGTCAAATGTTTAGTTAACTGACCTTTAATGCAGTTCTTGGCCTTGGCACATTATAAGTAAACTGTTTGATTTAAGGAAGTAGTAACATCTTATTTGGGTGCGTGGAGCAGTGAACAAAATGGCTGTAAAACAGTGACAAGTAACTGGGAATCTGCTGTAATCATTTCAGTATTCTGTTTTCAGACGTGTTGCAGCAAATCCTTTACAAATATATTAGTAGAATGGTAAATACTAGAGGGTTATACTCTCAGTTTTAGTACTTTATATTCAGATTAACTCTTTATATTCAAAGAACAGCAGAAAAATTATCATTTATTGGAGGTGACCTTGGTTGTCTCTCATGGACCACAAAATCACTGTAATTTTGATAAAGAGAAATCACCGAACGATGTGGGATTTTGATTAACTAAAACAGCCAGATTTCAAACACTGGGATTTCAAACATCTTCCAGATGATATTTAACAAACTAGCAAATATAATTATGTGTGCTTCACAAATTTAATCTCTGCACTAGTTAAGTTCGACTATTATTTAAACAGTCTAAAAGGAACTAAATTTGCTTCAAGTCAGACTTAAAATTTGGAAAATTTTTTTTTTTTAATTCACTCATGGGATGTGGGTGTCCTTAGCTGGCTAGCATTTCGTTGCATATCCCTGGGTGCCCTTGAGAAGGCGGTTGACAGCTGCCTTCTTGAACAGCTACAGTCCATGTCCTGCAGGTAGACCTACAATTCTGTCAAGAAGGGAATTGCAGGATTTTGACCCAACAACACTGAAAGAATGGCAAGCCAGAATGGTGAGTGGCTTGAAGGGGAATTTGCAGGTGATGGCGTTCTGACCAGACAACAGGCAATGCACTGTGCTTCAAAATTTTACAACTGGAATATGACAACATCAGTATTTGCATGAGGCTATTTAAGGAAACCTACAAGCCAGAATGTGCAAATTGATTTGGCACACTTTGTGTGCTGGTTCGCCGTTACTGTCATACTCCTACGTTATATGCTCTATTCTGTAAAAGGACATCTTCAAGTTAAAAATGTTTACTTTTCAAAAACATTCCAAGATCAGTATCTGTGGGATGGTAACAAGAGTAACATGAAGAGGAGAAGACAACTGTGGATTTTGTCCAGTTTCACCTTTTATTTGACCATAGTGTTAAATGATGGTCGTGATATGAGCATCAATATGTTAACAGCTGCCACTTCGTTTCCCAGGAATGTACTTTTGCCATATATTCAATGGTACAACATGGTGTGTATCAGATGTTGAATTGAGCAATAGGGGAATGGAAAGGAAAGTTGCCGTCTGGATGAACTGAGCACAAATGATAGATTTAGGAAGAGGCACAACAGAAATGATTTGAGTAAACCTTTTGCTTTATTCTGTTTCAGTTGCCGTACAAGTAACAGGAAGAGCCTGATTGTGACCTCAAATACTTCCCCAACACTACCACGGCCACATTCTCCGCTGCCAGGCCACACAGGTAAGGAACAAACGATCACTAGGTTTTACTGTGTGTATATCTTTAAAAAGAAAACTGCTTCCAGGTTATTTGCAACATTTAAGAGTGTGTCTAAACATCAGTCCCCTTCACCATTCATTACAGTCTATAGCAAGTCCAGTCTATGTGATTGACTGCAGCAAGCCCATCACCTAGAAGGGTGAGGATAATGACACATAAGAACACCATCAATTCCAAACATACCACCCGCATTTGATGTATACCGTCATTACTTCATTGCTGCTGCATCACTGTAGAAGTTCTTTGCCACTTGGCCTTCTTTATGCTTTCATGAAATGTTGATATTGCTGACTGGGGCAACACTGGTAGTCTATCCCTAAGTGCTCTTAAACTGAGTGGTTTGTTATGCCATTTTGGAGAACAGTTAAGAATCAACCACATAGCCATCATCAGATGTAGGTCAGATGGCACATTTCCTTCCTTGAGGTGTATTAGTGAACCAGTTGGATATTTACAACAATGGATGATCGTTTCATGATCACCATTACTTTGACTAGCTTTCAATTTCACGTATTTTAAAATTAACAGTAAATACCATGAGTTGCTGTCCCAAAGCGTTAGCCCTAAATCTCTGGATTGCTAGCCCAACGAAATTAACACACTGCCATTGTCTCCCCATATAGACTACAGAAGATAAGCTTAAAAAAAAATCAATCACTGGTCGGGGGGAAAACCCAATTGGTGAAGGATCATACTGGAACCAGCCTTTATTCAGTCTTACCTTCTTTTCAAGTGAAATACTCATCTTGATTCAATTTCAATAAGTTTGTCATTAGTTTTTTTTTAATCAGCCTATTCAGGAATTGTATGACACACCTCACTGGCAGGTGGTACTTGAACCAGGCCCTCTGGCTCACAGCTAGGGACACCACCACTGGGCCTCAAGAGTCGTTAAAGTGTTTCTTTTTTTCTGTGCTCAAATGAAAATCAACTTAATCCCCACCAGCTCCATATAATTAAACAGTTAATGTATAGTTAACAGAGATGGGCAGCAAATGCCAGTGCTGCCAACGTGCACGGAATAAATAGACCGATTCAGTGTAATTTTTCACTTTCACCAAAGTGTGGAGTTCATCAGGCAGACCACATCATGGTGATCATGAAACTATCATCAATTGTTGTAAATATCCATTTGGTTCACTAATGTGCCTTAGGGAAGGAAATCTGCCATCGTGGAATGCATTGCCGGAGAGGGTAATGGAGTCAGCCTCATCAGGGGCATTTAAGCAGCTATTAGATAGGCATATGGATGATAATATAAGGTAGTGGTGGAGGTCAGATAGACCTTAGGTTTAGGGTAAAAGTTCGGCACAACATCATGGGCTGAAGGGCCTGTACTGTGCTGTACTGTTCTATGTTCTATGTTCTATCTGCAGATCTAGGACATTGTCCAAAAGATGCAAGCAATATTTTGAATTCATGAGGAAGTTTGATGATTTTGCTGATCATACAACAAAATGCTGCAGACATATTCAAACTGATTTATTACCATTGTCATTGAAGATCTAAGTTTGCTTTTGATCCCCCAAAACCTGTAATTTAAAACTCATTCTCAGGTTCGTTTTGGCCCTACCTGTTCTTATGGCAATAACCTGCTGAAACCTCCTGTATTTTCAGTCATATGAGTTCTATATCCATGAGTGACTTTCCTTTAGATCCTCTGCTTCCCTCCTTCCATTGAGATCCTCCTTAAAACTGATCTCTTTGACCAGGTTTTTGATAACTCTGTGTTTGGCTTGGCATCCATTTCTGTTTCAACAAACCGCTGTGGGGCACCACAGTTTGGTTTTCTCTGTTAATGCTGTTGTATAAGTGTAATCCCTTTCTTAAAATAATGACGTAGTCATGAAAGAAGTGTTAGCGAAATTGTCAAAAACAGAGTAATGAGATAACAATAAATGTGAGTAGGAGTTTAAAACAGACAAACAGAAATTCATTGAAAAAGGGAACCTGCTTCAAGGAATCGTTCCTGGCAGAGAAGTGGCAGTAGATTAAGCAATTTTAAACAAAAGGCAGAAAATTACTGAGGCTGGATTTCTGATATTAAAACAAGACATGTTGTAAACTTAGAACAGTACAGCACAGGAATGGGCCATTGGCCCATGATGTTGTGCCAAACATGACACCAAATGAAACTAATCCCTTCTGCCTGCCCTTGGTCCATATCCCTCCATTCCGTGCATATTCGTGTGCTTATCTAAAAGTCCCTTAGATGCCCTTCTCGTAACTGCCTCCACCACTCCTGGCGGTGCGTTCCAGACTTCCACCACTTTCCATGTAAAAAATCTGCCCCTCATGTCTCCTTTGAACTTTCCCCCTCCCACCTTAAATATATGCCCCCTGGTACTAGACATTTCAACTCCGGGAAAAAGATTCTGACCATCAACCTTATCTATGCATCTCATAATTTTTTACACACACACACAGCTTTATTCCTCTGCATCCCGACCTTAACGAATTTCAGGCACGACATGACGTCGAACCCTTCTTTCGCTGTCTTCGCCTCTGTGCTCATTTTTGAACAAGAGTCCTCTCCCCGTCCTACATACCCCTTTGCTCAACTCCAACACTCTCCCTCCACCTGGACTCTTCCCTTCGGCCTTTTACCTGCACTATGTCTGTTCATTGAGAACTGTCGACGTGACATTAGTCACCTCAATTCCGCTGCCCCTCTCACCAAATCCAACTTATCTCCCTCCGAAATGACTTCACTCCGTGGCACTCGGATCTAACCCTGACTTTGTCATTAAGCCTGCCTATTCTGTGGAAGGGTCACTGGACCCGAAACATTAACTCTGTTTTTTGCTTCACAGATGCTGCCAGACCTGCTGAGCTTTTCCACCAACTTTGTTTTTGCTCATAATTTTATAGACTTCTATCAAATCTCCCCTCAGCCTCCGCCACTCCAGAGAAAACAGCCTGAGTTTTTCTAGCCTCTCCTTATAGCTCATACTCTCTAATCCAGGCAGCATCCTGGTAAACCTCTTCTGCACCCTCTCCAAAGCCTCCACATCCTTCCTGCAATGTGACAACCGGAATTGAACACAATACGCTAAGTGAGGCCTAACCAAAGTCTTATAAAGCTGCAACATGACGTCCTGACCCTTGTGTTCAATTCCCCAATCAATAAAAGTAAGTATGTCATGCACCGCCTTTACCGTCCTATCTACTTGCGTGGCTGCAAGCAACACTCAGCAACTCAGTCAGAATCTGGAGAGAACGAATGAGCTACACTTTCAGATGTGGGCAAGGTTTCCAGCGTTTTTCTGTTTCTGATATCCAGCCTTCTTTGTCTATATTGATTAAAAAAGAAAATAGAGTCAGTAGATTATGAAGCTGGAACTATATTGCAAAGCTGTAGCATAAGCTTAATATTAAAATAGAAAATAATACAGATACACATTAAGATCACTGACAAAGCAAACAGCAAATACACTTTTGGAGGAGAATACTATATGAGAATCAAGTTGATTAGTCAGTTTACCTTCATTAATCTATCCTGAGAAATCTGAATCTCCTTGAACTATGAATTCCAGCTGTTTCTTGAGTAATTCTAGATTTTCATTTCCATCTGAAATGTCACTGTACATGTCGAAAATTACTTCTCTGGGCAATGAACAGAGTCACAGTAGTTGACTGTCTATCTCAAATGCATATACTTCTCTAGTTTTCACTTGGTTAGTTTAGTGGACAGCCTCACCAGGAGAGAGTGATGGTGTCAGAGGTTTGGAGACAATAAGGACGGCAGATGCTGGAAGCCAGAGTTCGTAGATGTGAGGGTGGAAAAGCATAGCAGGTCAGACAGCATCCAAGGAGCAGAAAAGTCGACGTTTTGGCAAAACCCTTCGTCAGGAGTTGGGAGGGGGAGGGGAGCCCAGAAATAGAGGGAGTGGGGTAGTGCTGGGGGCAGGTAGATGGGATAGTGATAGGTGGATGCAGGTAGGGGGTTATCGTGATTGGTCCATGGGAAGGGTGGAGTGGATAGATGAGTAGGAAAATGGACAGGTTAGGGAGGTGAAGGGCAGAGCTGGACATGGGATAAGGCTGGAGGTGGAGGGATTTTGAAGTTGGTGAAGTCAATGTTAAGGCTATTGAGCTGTAAGCTCCCAAGATGAAATATCAAGTGTTGTTCCTGCAGAAATAGGCGACAGGTTTAGATAGAGGATCTGGATCAGCGCTGGATTGGAGGGCCGAAGGGCCTGTTCCTGTGCTGTAATTTTCTTTGTTGTTGTTGTTTACGTTTGGCCTCACTCTGACAGTGGAGATAGCAAGAACTGCAGATGCTGGAGTCCGAGTCAATACAGTGTGGAGCTGGAGGAACACAGCAGGTCAGGCAGCAAATGAGGAGCAGGAAAGTCGACGTTTCGAGGAGGCCAAGGATGGACATGTGATCAGGGGAGTGGGAGGGAGAATGAAAATGGATGACAACCGGAAGGTCAGGTTGATTGATGTATGCACAGCGCAAATGCTCCGCGAACCGGTCCCCAAACCTGCGTTTGGTCTCCCCGATATAGAGGAGACCACATCGACAGCAACAGATGCAATAGGTCAGGTTGGATGAAGTGCAGGTGAACCTCTGTCAGACCTGGAAGGATTGTTTGGGTCCTTAGACGGAGGTGAGAGGGGAGATGTGGGAGCAGGTGTTGCACCTCTTGCAGTTGCAGGGAAAGGTCCTGGGTGTGGTGCAGAAGTTGGTGGGGAGTGTAGAGCTGACAAGGTGACATGGAATAAATGATCCCTGTGGAAAGTGGGCAGGGGTGGGGATGGAAATATCTTTTTGGTGGTGGGGTCTGATTGTCAGTCGCAGAAATGTCGGAGGATGATGCATTGGATTCGGAGGTTGGTGGGGTGATACATGACGACTAAGGGGACTCTATCCTTGTTGTTGGGGGTGGGGGTTTGAGGGCAGAAGTGCGGGTGATGGAGGAGATGTGGTTGAGAGCATCTTTAATTACAGAGGAGGG